CCAGCCCTCCTACCCGCTTGAGGAGGTCGGCCGTCGCAGAGGAACAGCGTTGGCCTCCCTAACCTGGGCCAGTCTGGGGAGCGAGTCCCGCGCGGGCGAAGGCGCCAAGTTCTCACGGCCCCCTGCGCCGCCCAGGGTCGGGGTCCAGCCGGTCTGGGCCAACGGAGACCCAGGATCCCCGCTTAGGCCTCTCCTTGTCTGCTGCTCACCTCCTGTGCGCATGCGCCGCAACCCTCCCCGGCATAACCTGGCTAGAGAGCGTTTTAAAGGCCAACCTCCGGAGTCTTCGGTGGGCACGCCTAAATTCATTCGCCAGGAAAGTGAAACCGACAGTAGAGTAGTAAAAAGGTTATAAAATACAAATGAATTTAGACCTCCCCTACTAAGGCCATTTCAAGCGTACCATTCGAGTATTTGCGGGGGGAGGTTACCGGAGATTGAACTCGACTTCACGCTTGCCAGTGAGGCGCTGTGCCGCTAAGATATGTCCCGGCCCTATAAGTACTTCTGAATCTATTAAGACTTCATACCAAATAATCTTATTTCTTTGGGCGGAGGGATAGGCAATATATTGTTTTATAGAAACGGAATTTGTGGACTTAGGATATAATTTAAAACAACGCTGTTTATAATGGGCCTTGGTTTCCTGGGTGCTAGACCGAAAGACCTAAAGCTGAATGCCGTTCCTGCTATTGAGCTCTCACATAATTGTCACAACATCAGTACTCTGTGGAAATACAATAATCTGTTCCTACACCCCTCACATTTAGAGTGTGCATTCGGTCAGTTCATTTGGAAACTAGGACGTCTCCTCAGCATTAACAAAACGAGTCTTGTGGCTGATTGCATGTTTCTTGATATTAACATATTTACCTGGGCTAATAGTAACTGATAATTACAATATATTCCTAAAAATTTTCAGTTAATTTACTGGGTAAGAAGAGCATGCAAAGCCATTTCAGACATAGTACACAACCATGATACAGCTTATTACTTTTTAATATACATCATTTCCGCTGATAGTATGCACTTTTTGAAAACTCAGTGTTATTTTAAGCTTCAAAATACATGCCCAAACAACATGTTTTTCCTTTAATAGAACATTAGTTTACTAAGAACCAAATCTGTGAAGTAGGACTAGCTTACTTGCAATAGCCTCTTGTGAGACCGCGTGTGTGTGTGTGTGTGTGTGTGTGTGTGTGTGTTTCTGCAAAACTTCATTATATAACTGGTTTGTCTCTCTTTTGAACAGTTGGATTACCTTACTATACTACCTGGCCAATATAAATGTTACTTGGCTTTATTGAGTTGTTGGTATTAGTAATAAAAGCTAATGCGTTTATGGTTTAGAGAATGACTTTTTTAGTTTTTAGACAAAATTACAAACGTAGTTATGTTTGTTCTGCTTTCATCACGGTAACAAAGTGGCCTTGTCTAATTAGTTGATATTTTGTGAGGAAACTGTGGCCTGTCTGTAATTTGTCTGGCCATCTCTTAACATCCCTGAGGATAGTGTGTGTTTGGTTAGTTCCTGAATGGCCGCGATGATATTCCTTTTCTCATGGCTATGCGATCCACTTGAAATTGTATATTAAATTATAGTGTAGTAGGCTAAGGCTAGGAGAGGACTACGTGGCTGAAGCCTTTGGGCCTGACCTACCAGTTGAGGAGACTTAACTACAGCGAAGAACAGCAGCACTGGATCCTGACATGGGATCAAGCTGAGCTCTGCACCCAATACCAATCTTCTGATAGAACACACCAAACCTGGCATCTGATACCAGTCTTCTAGCATGAGATCAAGGGGGACCACCTGGATCAACCATCAAAGACATAAAGAGATGGCAGCCATTGACTTTGGGGCCATTGCCCTCTTGTTCTTGCAGTGACCCAGTCTGCTTGCAGGATATATTTTCTTTTTTCTTTGAGAGCACCCTTTTTTCCCTGAGCACTTCTTTTGTGCTTCTGCTTTTCTTATTTCTGCCCTAAAATAAAGTGATCTTTCACATCCACCAATTATCCTGACCAATGCATTGATCAGGACAAACAAAAATCTGGAAAACACTGCTAGCCCCTACCCCATCTGATGACAATAGCACAGTGAACTGACCCTTCAAATGAATATTCTATTCCTTTTTTCTTCTAAGTGTCCAATTATTGACAATATTCTCCATAAAACAAGCTATTCTAGCTTAAGATAAAACAGTTGGAATAGTAGTTAAAATATTCTTTAAGAAAATTTTACAATTATAATTTTATAGATTTTGCCCATCTTAAAAATTGTCTTTGGGCCGGGGATTTAGCATTTAGCTCAGCGGTTCGGTGGCCTGCCTTGCAAGCGCAAGGACCCGAGTTCAATCCCTGGTACCAAAAAAAATTGTCTTTGTTTTTTCTATTTACTTTAAAATTCATTTTCTAATAATGGAGATTTTCTAGGTAAGCCTTTCTTAAACTTTATTCTTTGTTTGTTTGGAGACAGTTTCAGTGTACTCCAGGCTGGCCTCAAACTTGAGGCACCCCTCCTGCCTCAGCCTCCCACATGCTGGGATTACAGACGTGCACTACCATGACCAGTTTGAACTTTATTCTTTGAAATATTAGTAGATGTGCTATGTGTTTAAGGTTGAAAATTTTCTTATTTTCATAGGGTAGGGTATGTTATTAAAGACTGAGCATCTTTCCAACAGTTAATTCTGTCTATACTAGATTCCTTTTCTGTGCATAGAAAACATGAGTTTGAGATTTATTATCACAATCCTACAACAGACTGAAAGTTCATTGTTGACTAATAATCTTTAAGTTCCACAATACAAACACCTACTTAAGTTTTCTTTGATATTAAGCAGTCTGGATTTTTATATGATACTTTTTATAGTTAATAATTGTAAAGATTATCCTACAGGGAAAAAGCACTGTTTACTAGAAAATTTTCAGTGGGTTTTAAGTATAATCTTTTTGCATCTAAGCAATATAGTGGTATAGATTTTCTAAAACCTGCCAATATTTGAGTACCAAAATTGGAACTCAATTTGGTTGGCAGAGAAATATAAAGAAAACCAACCAATGTGTGTGTGCATGTGTGCACGCCCAGACACACACACATACCAGTGTCTGCCTTTAAAGAACATGGAAGAAAAAGACATGTAGAAAATTACACAATAAGATGCCAGCTTTATCCAAATTATGTATAAAATTAAACCAAAGGACAAAAGTATGTGTATCACTTTGGTGCGTTTAGGGGAGGTGTCACATGACAGAGAATGTTGAAAGGTGACAGTTTTCCAAGTGACTAAGCTAAAGGGAGAGTAGTATAAAATGTCCCATGTGTTCAGCAGTAGGACTTTTGGAAGATGATGAGGTTAGGGTGCACTCTACTCTCAGTGGACTAATCTATTGATCAATTTGTTGCTGAACATGCTGCTACAAAGCAGGGCCTGGTCAGAGGAGGTGGGTCACTGAGGGTGTGATTCCTCTCCCTGCCTTCTCCTGCCCCTCTGTTTCCTGGCTGCCATGGTTAAATCAGCTTTCTGCTGCCATGCCCATTCATAATGTATTTCTACCTTGGAGCCAGTCAACCATGGGCGGTCTGAACTGAAAATGTGCCAAAAACAAACAATACCTCTCCTTAAAATTGTGGTTAAGTATCTTGTCTCAGCAGTGGGAAAATGACTAATATAAAAGATTTGGAAAGATTTTTGGTGGGCGGGCAAAGTGGTGCACGCCTGTAAATCCCAGCACTTGGGAGGCTGGGGCAGGAGGATCCCAGTGAGTTTAAGGCCAGCCTAAGCTACATGGTGAGTCTCTCTCTCTCTCTCTGTCTCTCTCTCTCTCTAAAAAAGAGAATGAAAACAGGAAGTTATATTCACTAAAGAATTTATTAAACTGAGAAGTTATCTGACATAGGCACATAGCTTGTTTCTTGACATTAAACCCTCCAATTTTTTAAAACTTGGAGCACAAATTTGAAAAGGCTAGGCAAGTTGAAGGCTAATTTGTAGTATTAGATTCAACTCATTCAAACAGAGATTGGAGAGAGGTGAGAACAGACAGGGCATGAATTAGTAAATGAAGTATTCTTTATCAAGTCTTGACAGGGACCACATCTGTTAGGTTCATATCATTTGGCTTCTTATTGCTTACTGAATGTTAAGATAATATTTTTGAATTAAGTGTTAAAGAGTAATTTTTTAAGAAAATTTTTTGGTTAAAACAAATTTTTAGGTTTGGCCTTGCTGTGTAACCTAGGCTGTCCTTGAACTCAGTGAACCTCCTCCTGCCTCACCATACTGAGTGGTGGGATTATAGGTGTGTACCACCATGCCCAGCAGGAATGTGTGTGTGTATATATATTTGGCACTGGGGATAGAACTCAGGACCTTACCCTTGCCAGGCAGATTTGGGGCCACTGAGCTACATCCCCAGCTCCCAAGAACAATTTTTTTGTTTTTGTGGTACCAGGAATTGAATTCAGAACCTTGCACTTGCAAGGCAGGTGCTGTGCCATTGAGCTAAATCCCCAGCCACCCCCAGAACAATATTTTAATCAGAAAAATTTTGTAAGAAAATCACAATCTTTTAAAAGTGCTTTCGTACAGTCTCATGGAGAGAGAAATTAGATAAACAATCCCTGTCACATTAGCACTCAAAAAAAAAAAAAAAAAAACACCAACGAATCACTAAGGAAGG